TCTGACAAACAAAAAAAGTAGATATTCTTGAAGTGTACAGAGCATGTTCAGAACAAAGGGTGACGGGAATGTCATCTGTTGCCAATTTCACTTGTCCTCAAATTCCACACGCACCTCCCCATCACACGGCCTCCTCCCCCCCACTCCCCAAATCTACACGATCTTTAAGATCAAGAGGAAAAAAAAACCTGTTTAAATATTTTAAAATAATTAAAAGAAATAAAAATTCACATTTAAAAAAGGAACACTCAAGTCAGGAGGCCGATTTCCCATCACGCTTTGCTCTGAATAAATGTGGTGGATATTTGCAATTCATGTTCCAATGCCACGACTGTTTCAAGTGACAAATTAAAAAAGATTTGGGTATTTCCATGACTATAGTGACAGCTGTAACAGGTGCGTTGGGTTTCTTAAATTTTGTTTATTTGTTAAATTCTGAAATGGGGCGGGAGAGGGAGGGGAAGGGCAGGGATTAAGGAGTCCATTTTCTATTAAAATATAGAAGTTATTGCAAAACCCTAACTGTAAAAACGCACCAATATAATTGGATTTTGTATACAGTAGCTAAAGATTCCCACGCTCGCAGTGTGATGGTGAATTTGCCTGGCGGAAGGTTGACAAATCCCCCATCCACTTGCCCTGCCTCAAGAGAAAAACCACACAAACCAGACAGCTAGAATTTGGATCTCTGAAACATTTTTAAATAAGTTGTCCATAGGACAACTGGCTCAGCTCCTTTAGGATATTTCCAGGTTATGCTTTCTGCAAGATGTTGGCTGTTTTATCTGATGCTCACTTGCCCCTTTCCTCCCCCTTCCCCAGCATCCAAGGACAAGTAAGGCTCACAGTTTATCAATCTCCCTAAAAGCCACGCTACTCCCCCTTTATTTGCCATGAAATTCAGCTCATTAAAAACAAGTTAAAACTCATAGTCTTCCTCTGCCATGTCGATAGCCCAGGCAAACTTCTCTCGTTGGGTTTTGTTATAAATCTTCTCTATAGGAATTCCCCACTTCTTACACCTGCAGATGAGGAGAAGCTGTTAGAGCCTACGCAGCACAGGCACTGAACCCCTCCCCGTGCAGCAGAATGGCCCTGCTCTCGCCCAGCACCTTCCCGAGCTCTGCTCCGTCACCAGACACCACCCAGCTGAGCACCACCAGCCTCCCGGTGTTCGACCCTGCAGGTGCTTCCACCCATCACCTCCCAGCGTGGTGCTGGCTTTGGCTGGCATGTGACATTTGCCTCAAGAGACTCTTTCATAACTTCCCGAAACCATCTGAAGGTACAAGGGAGGGCCACAGAGACAGACGTCTCTGGCAGCACAGGGGCACTGCCCTCAGCCACAGCCCTTGTCTGCTAACTTGGGGGAACAAGACACAAGTGAAGGGGTGGTTCCTTCCAGCACACCCCAGGCAGATGCTTACCAAGCAACAGAGATCCTGGGATCCAGATAGTTGAGTTTGGAGGTGCCCAATGCGATCTGCTTATTCTCCTCCCTATCTGTAGCCTGAACCTCCAGCTTCATCAGTTGCTCCTCAATCCTCTGCACTGCTTTCTTCTTGCTCTCCACTGTCCTGGGGTGGGGAAGAATCAAAGCATTTAATTCCTAATGCCCTGCTACGCTGGAGACGGCAGCACTGCGGGAACCCAAAGGGACTCTGCTCAAGGTAAGCAACGCCACCAGCCGCAAAAGGGCAGCTGTGTCAGCACAGATGGTGATACAAAACACTCAGCACATGCAATTAAGAACTGACATTTTCAAAGAGGCAGAGCAGAAATCTTAAGCAGCAGTTTTGTTTCAAAGGGTTGGAAGCAACAGCCTGAACTGTACTGATGCTACCCCCACTTTACAACCAGCCTACCTATCCCTCGGTAATAGTCATGCTGTGATTCTGCTCTCCGAGCTCCCTTAACTCAGCACCCTGAGCGGCTATTCCACAGAGCCCACGCAGAGTCCGAGTACGTCGTCTGCACCGTGGGCTTCCAACGGAGCAGAGCAGAACCCAGAAAAATGCATGTGCAATTGTGTAACTCCTGGCTCCCCATGAAGATGGCAATGCTGCACACTGGACTGACGGCTCTGCTTGGTCCTGGGCAGCAGGGTGGTTGAGTATTGGTTGGTGCTCAGCTCAGAGGGATGACACAGAAGAGGCTAATGCTAGTGACCTAGCAGCGTCAGACCACTCTATGGTCCTCAGCCTGAAGGCCATTTCTTCATGCACAGAATAAAGGGGGGACAAGAAAGCCTGAGGAAGTCTCCCCAGATCACAGGCTGGGGAAACAGAATACAGGGTGAAAAACCCATCTGGAGCTGAGAGTACTGGGAGCATTGCACGGCCTGATAACAGCAGCCTTACTTTTTAGACTTCTCATCCCTCCGGACCTTGGCATCAGCTTTGGCGCTTTTCAGTTCTCTCCTGGCATCAGCTAACTGCTCCTTCTTGGCATCAATCTACGAGAGGCAAAACCAGACGGCAGCACTGTGAGCAAGCTGCTGACAAATGTGGCAGTCACCTCTGGGCAACACGACCCAGGGAGTGAGTTTGTGACCATGTTCAGTATCTACCAGCTCTCAGACCCATTTCTGCAGAACAACTGGGCCATTGGCCTTTCAGTTTGCTGCAAAGCCTAGTGTGGTGAAATACTCCCCTCAGAAAACAGGGCCCCACTCAGCTCCCGGCACCACCTTGTCTTTGGAAATTTCTCACACAGCTACAACCAAGCAGGTGAAGGACTTGGCTTGGCCTGGGACTGGCCAACAGCCCCTCCAGGGCAGGAATCAGTTCTTGCCCCAAATCTTCCAGGCTGAAAGCTGTTAAGGCTTCAGGCAGTTCTTCTCCAGTAAGTTCAGGATTCAGGGAGATTTAGCATTTTGCAGCCCCTGTTCAGACATTCCCCTTAAACATCCCCCAAGCTCTAAGATCTAGGGTGAAGGCAGCCATGTTAGGTGTTACAGAAGCGGGGGACACTGCAGTGGCAAACCAAAAGTCCTTATTGTGAAGGTTATTCTAAAGCCAGACCAGGAACAGACCTAACCCCTTTGGACCTCATGGCCTTCACCAGAAACAATCTGCAAAGGAAGAGGTCAAGTCAGAGGGGCATAATGTACCAAGTACACAGCCTGCACTGACAGTGGCCTGGGACTGATGCAAAAGGAGTGAATGCCCACTCCAGGCTCTTTAGGGGACACAATCAGAGCTAGAGACTGCTGCTCTGAAGTTTCAGTGGCAGCAGAACACATAGCTATGGGATGAAGGGCAGATAAAAAGGGTCTGGTCTTGGTCTTTACAAGTAAAAGATGACTTATAATGAAAGGTGTCCCTTTCAGCTCACTGCTCCTCTCCAAGCAGGCCCATCTCTAGCTATGCAGCACTAACCAACTCCTGACAGGGAAAAGCAGGCTCTGCTTCCGTTTCACCCCAAGTGAAAGGAAACGTGACTCCTGGGATGCAGCACGTGGAGCTGTGCCACAACCCAAGAGCTGGGCCAGGGTGGGGGTACCTTGCTCTGCAGGTTCATCATAGACTTCTCGAAGGTCTTGGGCGGAGCCCGCTGGTGGTTACACAAAATGGCAACCGCTCTGTTGGCACGGTTATAGGAAAGGATCTTCGCTGGGATGTTGTCGTCCGCTGCAAAGTACAAGAAAGTGGTGAACAAGTGGGTTCTCCAGGGCTGTGCAGCCCCAGCCAGTGTCCCATCGACTCTGCAAGCTCACAGTCACCGCAGAGCTGACCTTCCCCTCTGATGGGCCAGTCTCACTCCACTCTAATTACAGTTGTAAGAGCCTGACCACATCCATCCTGGGCCCTAACTCTTTCTGGGATGGTTTATTTGATAGCAACAAAGACACCGTTCACCACTCAACAGAGGGGAAGCACATCCACGCTCAGAGCAGAGGACAGCAGGAGCATACTGCGCAAGACACTGCTGGGCCTCACAGATCCAACGTGCCCGCTTCATGAAGTTGTTAAAGTGCAAACTAGCAGTGCTTGACAGAGCTTGTGAACGAGCAGCCAAGAAACACAGGGCTGTTACAGATACATCTGCCTTGCCTGCCACCTATAGCACTTTTCAATTAACAGAAAGCAAATAAGAGATTTGGCAAAGTACAGGCATAACCTAGCAGGCACACCGTGGTGTGCTCACGAGTCAGCTCTGTCCTGCCCCAGTGCTGGGCAGCTCATCTGCTCCAAAAGATTGTCTGGCAGCAGATTTTTGGTCTGGCCGAACTGCAAGGAGGAAGTGGTGTACTGATACAAGACTTGTGGCTAAGTTGAGGAAGTCAGGTCTGTATTGCAGAATAGGATCTGTTCCCCTCAGTTTCAAGGACAAGACTTACGATTGGTGAGCTCCTTGAGCTGCTGCTGTAGCGTGATGGAGGCATTGTAAGTACGGAATACCTTGGCTGTCAGTCCCTCCATAAGGTCTTGAAGGTGTTTATTCAAGATACTGGTCTAAGGAAGCAGAAAGGAGATGACAGTTAGCCCTAGAACTGACCACAGCATTTGTGAAATCTCTGGACACACGGCTGACGAAGACATGCAGCTCACTGCTGAGGCCTAGTGTACTCAGACCTGACCACAACAGAATGGCCACAACACTACTGAAACCACAGGAAAAGTGAACAAAGAACCAACAAGTAATAGATTGGTAACAAGTACCACAAGTGGCAAAAAAAAAAAAAAAGTTTTCTTCAGCGTGGAGGTTTTGGTTCTCAACAGGTAGGAGTGTGCCTGTCCCATCCCAGGGAAGGTGCCTGAGCCACCACAGTGCTCCCTTGAAGCCAAATGTGCAGATGGGGACGGCATCTGAAAATCAGTCACCTCACACAACCATCATCCCTGAACTCTGAAAAAACCTCGCCAAGTCAGAGCCAGTCAGGCTCACCAGGACCAAAGCCCATCACTTCAGGAACCTGCAGGCACAGAGGACAATACAGACACCAGACTGAGACAGACTCTCGTTGCTTTTAGGCCGCTCAGGCCAGCTCTGGAAGAAAACTGCCACTGAAACCATTTCTGGAACAGCGCAGCTGTTACTGCCTGGTGCAGAGTGAGCCTGTTCACGGCGCTCTACCATTATCTTTCACCATAAGCTACACGCTTACATTTAGGCGGTCAAAGAGGTCATCTTCAGGCTGCTTGTTCTCCATGAACAGCTGAAGATTCTTAAACACCTGCAGGAAAAGAAAAACGGTAACTTCAGGCGCACAGATCAGACAGCACTGGGTAGCAGTAATACACATAAGGAAGCAACGCTGCCAGGGAGCCACTTAAACTGTTTTCAGGCAACAGTGACTATGCTGGACATTACTTCCCAGCAGGCAAAGACCCATCTTCTCAATACAACACTTGTGTTGAACATTCCTCCCCAGCAACAGGAGTCCTGAGCGTTCAATGCCCTTTTATCCTCATCTTTTAGACCAAGATTGCAAGAGACTTGATTCTCCTCTAGCTTAGCTGCCTAACAAAGAGACCCCAAAGCCACCACCGTCCTTAGTCTCCATCGCTACTACAGCCAAAGAGACCCTTGAGCCATTTCCCATGGAGCAAAGCTACCAAAAACCATCCCTTCTCATTGCTGCATTAAATGTTTCATACAGTTCCATCCCAAACAAGTCTCACCAGAGTAGGCAGAATAATCAAAGCACCTTTGATTACAGAGAGACCACAAATCCCAGCTCTGCGTGCTGCAAATTCCCAGTTGCCAGCTTCTCAACAACACACATTCTTCCTCTATAGACACCTAATATACAAAACTTTCTAGTCCTGTAATAATCAAATTCCCCATTGTAAGCACTGAAGAAGAGACACATCAAGAGATACCAACACCAATAAACAGGAAAAATGCTTTCTTCTTTAAATAAGCAATTAAGAATTCCATCACATGCTCATTTCTATAGCAGCCATAGTTTGGATTTTTTCCAGTTATTTTGCTCCCCAAGAGGCCAAAATTTACTGCCGACTGTGATTACCACACTATTATACATGTGGTATCTAACATACTGTGCTGACGTCAGAGCTGCGGGCCAGAAACAAAGCTGTTACACCCACAAAAACTAAAAGTCTTTTTGGATAGTGCCCTCCAGGTTCTGCTGGATGGGGATTTATTCTAGAATGAGGTCCGGATCACAGCAGATTTGAAATTGGTGGATGACAAAGAAATAAAGGAATTCACATTGCCTAGGAAAGAAGTCTTGGTTGGTAGACACTCTGGTTCATAGGCCAGAAGTATCAGTGCACCTACTTTGTATGCTCTGGAGCACCCAAGACCTACCACAGTGAGGGCTCAGGTCCAACACGAACACAACCATTGTGGCAGAAAAGCTAGTATCATGGAAGTCCAAGTTGAAGTGCTACTCTAACAGTGCCATTCACCACTGTATTTCAGAACCTTTTACGCTATTACTTGTCATAATAAGGCCTAGAACTCTTGCCATCTACAGCTGATAACCCCAACTCTGCCGACCAGAATGAGATCCAAGAAACCCATCTAACATAGCTGATACAGTTATGTTATGCCAACTCTTGACACTGAGACCACAAGGGAGAGCAGCAAGATGTTTAAATATCTCATCTGCTGGGTTATGTCACACCACCAGCAGGCTTTTCTTCCATGGTACTGCCAATAAAAAGGGAAGAACATTAACCGACTTATTTTCTGGCTAGGTATCTGACCAGTAATAATGCACTCTGTTACTGCCATCAAAACGGTGTTGACCACATTTTTCTGCAATTCAGTGTATGTACGTGTTTGTGGAGATGCCTTACCCTCTTCTCAACAGGGACTTTGTTGTAGTATCGGATGGAGTCTTTTCCGAGGAAGTCAAACTCAACCACGTATTCCTGGCCATCCAGTTCAGGATGCAGCTTGATATGCTCTACTCTCAGAGAGCAGCAGCCCACGGTGTCAGCTGTCTCTCCTTCTTCTTTTTCATTACCAGCTCTCAGGGCAAGCTACATTTATATCAAGACAAGAGAAGCAAGCATTTCAAACCATCCCAGTAGTGTACGGATGCTAGAAACTTCCAAACACTGCCCTAGAAGCAACAGTGTCCATAAAATTGACATTTTAAAAATTCTAATAAAAAGACAACTAAGTTCTCTTTAAATCTGTTATAAACAACCCTATACTAAAGCCACGTATCTACCAATCTACCAGAATACATCACTTTTTTTAAGAGAAGTTTAAAGCAAGATGTTTTACCAACTTTCGCTCATTAAGCAACTCAAACTCTATGGCAGTTCTGACTAATGGAAATCCATTTCAAAACATCTGATATTTTTTAAAAATCAAACTGATTTCCATGTGAACTCAACCTGGTACAAAGTCATAAAGTTCAGTTGTTCACATTCTGTGATCCTACTGCTTCACCACATGCTCAATTAACACACTTTAAATAGCATACAGGACACTGGGTTATGTAAATAATCAAAAGGCTACATTTGGCTCCATAGAATATGTGTTTTAACAGTACTGGCTAAACCAATTTCTAATTTGTGAAGAAAAACCTTCAGTGTTCATAAGAAACCACAGTTACTCAAACCAAAGTTCCCTGGTTTACCTCACACCATTCTGAACAAGATCTAGTTGGTCAAGACATCATACACTACCGAAGCAACAGCTCCCTAGGAACGGGTTTTAAGTAGCTTTAAATGCATCAATATAACTGCAGTTTTTTATGCTGTGGTGAAAAAAATTAGCATAATTATGAAACCTCACGACTGTGACCTCAAACTAAAGAGGTGACAAACCAGCAGAAATTCCCAGCAGGAAAACTGAAACAGCTGGAGACAAAAGGCCCACACAAACTTCCCAGTAATCCAACTGGGCGATTCTGGAACCAGGCTGTGACTTTTGCCTGAACTAAAACAATGCTGCCTGAAATAGCCATGTTCTGTACAATAGTGTATTGGTCTGGATTCCAGGTAATGGGAAGGAAAAGGAGATGGGAGGCTGCCCACCAGGAAGTCTCAGGATACCTTAGTAACAGGGCTCATTTCTGCCACAGGAACAGACACACAGCGCTCGCGAGTATTCCCAGCAGGATGGGGAAGGTAAGAGGAGCGGGCTGGGGAAAGAGCCTTACTTTATCAATGAAGTACAGTGCCACAGCCCTCTGCCGTACTTTCATCTCTTTGGACTTCCAGTCTTCTCGATATTGATTTCGGATTTTATCTACGCACTTCTTCAACCTCCGAGCTGTCTCATACTTCTGCCAGTCCTTCTCACCCTGCAGAGAAAGTTGGAATAGAGTCAGCATTAGGAAGCAGGCAAAGGACCAGTTCCAATCTGCATCTCAAGGCTTTGCGAGTCTCTGTGTGGCAAATGGTGTCACTGTACAAAAGCACTGAGATTTTGCTGCTGAACAGCTCAGTCTCAAACTGTGCTGCCACACAGCTGTAGGTAATTCAGACTTCCATGATATTAAACGCTTCCACGGAAACAACTATAAAGACACAAAAGATATTATGTCTTCTATGCTTCTCAACATATAAATGGCTTCCTCTGCTTTATTCAGATCACACTTATGTTCTTTCAGCTGTGTAATTAAACACCCATAAAACATAAAAGCAACATCAACCGTTTATCCTCATTATTACATATTCAAGCCATGGTAAAGAGAGGGCATGAATTCACAAGGAACAGATTTTTCCCTATACTTGTAAGACAAACCCCTTGTTTCCAATCCAGGAAAAACATCTCTTATAAAAAGACTGCATGAGAAGAACTTAAATCCTATCCCCAAAACTGAAGGCTACTTCTCTTTCAGCAGTTTTATCACTGCTTTTATGGAACTGATCCATTGACTGGTTATTTGCTCCCACAGCGGGGTTTGTTCTCCTTCAAACATGAGCTTCTTATCAGCCTTCTCAGCCAGCAGCCTGGCCGTATTTTTAATTTTACAACTGACTAATTAGCAACCTGTGGTTAGAAAATCACTATGTGATCAGGCAGGGGAAGTTAGGGCCAAAAGTAGGTAAAATATCCACCAGAGCAAGCCTGTTCTTGAATAAATAGCTTCCTTTTCGGTTTACACAGGGTAAAGGATTCCTACTAGGAATGACACAATGATGCTTTTCAATACACATGTTCCAGATTTCATCTGCTCTCCTGTGGAGTAATTGTATTCTTTCATTTCAATGGGGAACTGAAGCACAGGAACTTTACTATGTTTTTCAGTCACAGTGTAGGATAAAACAGCAAGACAGCTTTACTTCCTATCTCTCTCCTAGCCAACAGCTACATTTGCTTCTTGGAGACATGACCAATAAGATTTTTTTTTTTTTTTTAAACTGGATCTTCACCTTAATTCTTGAGCTAGGGTTCAACATGATGTATTTGATAGAGCCTTGGATGTTCTCGGTCCATGACACCAGCCAGGTAACCTTGTTATCATGCCGGACCTCCTTCCATTTGTGCCCTGGTGGAGGGGGAGGGATCTTGGAATCCCTGCAGAGAATTACAAAACAGCAGATAAGTAGACTTCCACGGCATCAAACACAGAGAAAGTAATGAATACCATCACACAAAGCGAGCACAGGGAAAGAAACTGAGGCAACATAACTACATACTGCCACAAGCAGGCAATCAAGTGGATCAAAGCGAACAGCTGAAGATCAGAAATGTAACTGCTATCAACTGCTGAAGAACCACACTATAGGCGGGAACACGCATTGCTAGGACCAGCTTTGATTTGCTGACACCGCAACAGTGTGGGCACTTATCAGGACAAGACTGAAGAGAAGCCCACCAAACCTTAGCCTTTGACACCAAGGAACACAAAGTAGGTCAACCTAGCTAGAAGAAAACGAATTTCCGGAAATACTGGCAGGAAAGACTGTTTAGGCAGATGTAGGCCACAGGCATGAGGAAGAAAGAATGTTGACAAAGTTCTACATTAAACCCATGATAGCCTTGTTCAGTCTTTGCTTGTATGACTCGGTTACTTATCCATTTAAGATAAGCAGCATGTGTATTTCTACATGCTTGAATATTCCTAGACAGGATTTTAAAAAAGAAGCTATCCTATCTAGAAAGCAAAGCCAAGGTGGGAAGCATCCAGTGCTCACTTGCTGCAGTTAATGATGATGTCTTCTGGCATGATGCGTCTCTTCAACATGCCCATTTTGGGATGGTTCCCACGACCTCGAAAGAGACCCGGAGGTTCAATCTTAAAGTTGGCAATCCTCTCCTTGTGGTTGTCCATCACGCAGTAACCATACTCCTTCAATAGCTCCTCATTCTCCTCTTTGATTTTCTGGAAAAAGCCAACAGCAAAGATGGTATGATACACCCAGCATCACACACACCTCTAAATGCCAACACTTCAAGAATTTTTATATTTAGAATCATAGAAAGTTTTGGGTTGGAAGGGACCCCTAGAGGTCATCTAGTCCAACCCCCCCCGCAGCGAGCAGGGACACCGCTAACTAGATCAGGTTGCTCAGAGCTCTGTCCAACCTGGTCTTGAATGTTTCCAGGGATGGGGCCTCCACCACCTCTCTGGGCAACCCGTTCCAGTGTTTCACCACCCTCATTGTAAAGAATTTCTTCCTTATATCCAGCCTAAACCTACCCTGTTTTAGTTTAAAACCATTACCCCTCGTCCTGTCACTGCTGTCTCT